CCCCCCCGACGGCCGCGTTCTTCCCTCAGACTAGGTTAATTGCCCCTGCACCAGTGTAGGAGCTAGCAAAGGCCGATCTAACTTTGATGGACAGATCCATAGACCAATGGAGAAACTAACTGCACTGTAACCAATGCGGCCTCGGCTTGGGCGGGACTAAGGGCAGGAAGGGGGCGCGGATTGGACAGAGGTACGTTGTGGATGGCGGAGACGCTGAAGTGGGTGCTAAGCCCCGGTAGGGCGGCCAGGCCGCGGGAGGATATTGCAGCTGAGGTCGGACCACCTTTGCTGCTGCTCGGCGGTCCAGGGTCTGGAAAGACAGCACTGCTATTCGCGGCGGCCCTGGAGGCGGCAGGGGAGGGCCGAGGCCCCGTGCTCTTCCTAACCCGGAGGCCTCTGCAGAGCCTACCCCGCCGGACGCCTGCGGCGCTCGACCCTCTGCGCCTACAGGTAAAAGGGGGACGGGACCCGAGGCTGACCAGCCAGTGGCGGGGCGGATCGAGGATTGAGTGACAAGTAGGCAGGCCAATGGAGGGGACAAAGGAAGGGCGCTGGAACAGCCATTCTAGAGAGGAGTCTGGAATGAGTAAGGGGAGGGACATGTGAGTTTTGTTAAAATTGAGTGAGAGACTATCCAATGAAGGGGCGGAGTTAGCGAAAGGCGGTGCCCAAAGGGTGGGACCAGGGCCGGTGAGGAACGCGACTAATCCTGGTTGTCTAAACGGAAGTTGGTTCCAGGGAAGCCGGCCTCAATGATGGGGTCAGACTGGGAAGCTAGGGGTGGGTTTTGCGTGGAAAGAGTATCCTAGAGATTTGGCAGAAAGACATACCTTGCATTGAGGGCGTACTATCTCTTTTCACTCTAATCTTGCCACTATCACTTAAAATACCCGCTCCCCCAAATAGAAAAAAAAGACATACCCTGTTCTGAACTAATATCGAGCAGTGACGAGTGCTAGATAATAATTAAAAAAAGGTGGAAGGGAGGCGAATAGAAGAATATATTCGATCATTATGAGCTGCTTCACTCTGGAACCAGCTGTCTGGGGAGTGAGAGCCTTGCCCAGGAAAGTACGCAAGGAAGCATGGCTGTTAAAGCTGGGAGCCTGGCTTCCTGTGCTGAATCTGGCCCTCTGGCCCTTTCCTTTTTTTCCCCCTCTAGAAGATCCGTTTCCAGTACCCACCCTCAACCCATGAGCTCTTTCGTCTCTTGTGCTCTGCCCATGAGGCCCAAGGGCCAGCCCCTTTCCTTTTGCTGCTTGATGGCCTGGAGGAGTACCTAGCTGAAGACCTGGAGCCCCAGGAAGCCGCCTACCTGTCTGCCCTGCTTCTGGATACAGCTGCCCACTTCAGCCACCAGGTTGGGCCTGGAGGAGGCTGTGGGCTCATTGTGGCCCTCCAGACCCAGGAGGAAGGAGATAGTGGGGATGCCCTGCAGCTGTCAGTTCTCCAGAGGTATTTCCCTGCCCAGTGCTGGCTGCAGCCAATTGCACCAGGCTCAACACCACGCTCAGGAGAGCGCTGCTTCAGAGTCTGCCTGGAGCCGGGGGGGCTGGGCCCCAGGGCACAGTGGTGTGTGGCTTTCCAACCAGATGGGGAGATGACAATCACCCCATGGCCTACCCAGGCTGGTGACCCCAGCTCAGACAAGGGTTCAAGCTCTGGAGGTCAGCCTTGAGCTTTGGTGTGTGATCACCTCTCTATGCCTGTTTCCCATGGCTGGAACACTCAGGGACATGTACAGATGTAAAAATCTAAAGAATGTAAAGTGCTTTTTCTCTTTTCAAAATACAATTATCATGTACATATTATACCCTATCAACATATTGTTTAGTTTTGCTGTTTTGAACTTTATAAAAAGAGTTTTATGAAAATTATAATCTTTGAGACTTCCTTTTTCTCTCCCTCAACATTGTTACTAAGAACTGGCTACATTTTTTATTTTTATTTATTTATTTATTTATTAAAAATATATCTTTATTGATTTCAGAGAGAGGAGAGGAGAGGGAGAGAGAGATAGAAACATCAATGATGAGAGAGTCATTGATCAAGCCTGCAACCGGGGCATGTGCCCTGACCGGGAATCGAACCCTGATCGCCTGGATCCTAGGTTGACGCTCAACCGCTGAGCCACGCCCGGCCGGGCTGGCTACATTTTTTAGTTCATTTCTTTTTCCCTACTGCATATAATTCTAATTTATCCATCAGATTGACTTATTTATTGCTATGAGCATTCTTGCACACATGACCTGGTACATGTGTGTGAGGGTTTTTAGGCTGTATACCTAGAAGTGGAATTGCTGCAGCAGAAGGTATGCATATGTTCAGCTTTCGTAAGTTATGTCAAACTTTTAAAAAGTGGTTAAACTTGCCCTGGCCAGTGTGGTTCATTTGGTTAGAGTGTCATCCTGTGTACCAAAGGGTTCTTGGGTTTGATTTCTGGTCAGGGCAAATACCCAGGTTGCAGGTTCCATCCTTGGTGGGGTATATGCAGGAGGCAACTGATCGATGTTTCTCTCTCATATTGATGTTCCTCTCTCTCTCTTTCTCCTTCTCCCTTCCTCTCTAGAATCAATGAAAATCATATCATTGGTAAGGATTAAAAGATAATAATAATAAAAAGTGGTTAAACTTGAACTCCCATAGAGCCACTTGATGACATTTGGTGTCATCAGAATGGGGCCTGATATAGAATAAAGACCTGTGAATTAATGTTGTTACTGTTATTATTAGTTGCAGAGGCCCATTAAACAGCTTTCCTCTCCCTGGGTGCCCAGCTAAACTACATTTTCGAGCCACCCTTGGTTCTACCTGGGGTCACGTCACCATTTCTGGCCAGTGGAATTTGTGAAGAGATAGAGCCCACTTCTAGGCTAGATCCCTAAAATGGCCCACAGAATCTTTTCTGTCCCTTTACTTGCTGGCTGGATGCAGAGGATCTACCTAAAGACCCCAGGTGGCCTTGGAGGATGGTGAAGCTATAGACTGGAAGAGTCTGGGCTTCTGACTCATCGTAGAGATGGCTGCCCACCTGTTTGAATTGCAATATGAGAGAAACTACTAATTGTGTTAAGCCACTCAGATTTAGAAGTTGTTTGTTATGGCAGCTAGTGTAACAGAGTGGTTAATTCATTTTATTATGATTATTATTCAGATTTCCAGATCCTGAATTTCAGACTGAGTTCACAGCCTTTTATACTGCTCCCTCTACGGTGTGAGCCATAGGAGCAGAAATATATATATATATACACATAATATATATACACACACACCAAAAAACAAAAGAAACCCTATACATTTAAAAATACTGCAATGTTATGACTTCCTGAGTAGGATGGATTAGGCACATAGCCAAAGTCAGAAATAGCCTAGGCACACAGCCTAGTCCTGAGAGAGGCCTCACTAACCCTGCCAAATAGGCCTTGGGGTCATGCTGGGTCCCAAGAATCTGAGGACTAGAGTCCTAGGAGCAGGCCACACAGCTGGGAGGTGAAGGCTCAGGGGCTGGGACAAGACTATTCTCATAGGGGTTGGAATAGGAGCCATTGGATGAGCCTCCCTTGGCTCCCTGGGAGCCCCCTGAGCTGTAGTCAGTTGAGATTCCAGAGTCTGACACCACGAGGTACAGGTACTTAAGGTGGGGTGGAGTGGGGGGCAGCTCAGGGGGCAGTGCCCTTGGGCACAAGAGCTGGGAGCTGGGGTCCAGGATGGTATACTCAAAGCTGGCAGCTGAAGCCCCCTCTGGCTTCAGGGCCAAAACAGATGAGCACGAGGATGCTTCTGAGCCTTCATCCATGGCTGCTACGTCCAAATCACCACCATGCCGCGGGGAGTCCTCGCTGGGTGGGCTCCGGGGCAGCAACCATTTGTCCAGCACCAGGTAGGTGTCTTGGGCATGCTCACTGCCCACTGGCTCCAGCAGGGGCCCCTCGTCATCTGTCCCTGGCTCCACTGCTTGTGTCACCCCCCAACAGCGTTCAGAGAGGACTTCCAGGGGGATGGGTGTGTCCTCTGCGAAGGGGGTACAGGGGTTCCACCACAGACAGCCGTCGTTTTGATACAGCCACAGCTGGGGAAACAGTACCAGCTGGCTCAGAGACCTGGGGTTTGGCCACAGGAGCAGGGAAGCTGCAGGCCCTGAGGGGACAACCAGGCTACCTACCTGGAAGTTACCTTTGTGGGTGGTGAAAAGACCCTCAAACTCACTCTCGGGGCTTGGGATGCCTGGCCAGATCTTCTGCTTCAGAGCCCTGGTGAAACCAAAAGAAACAAGTACATGGGCATGTGTCACTGAACACACCTATATCACTTCTGTATCCAGTCAGGGACACAGATACTCCTAGCCCTTGGTGGTCATGATGAAGATAGACGGAGTGCATAGGGGAACAGGGGCTTTGGCTGGAGCATCTGTAGGGCCCTACAGGAGGACAACTGAAACAGTTTTGAAGGATGTATAGGAGTTCAATACACACTGCCTCATGCCCCTCTAAACCCGGCCCAGGCTTGCCTGGAGGTCCATTATGTCACTTCTCTCACTCCTTTCAATGGTTGCCCAGTGCATTCAGAATAAAATCCAGTCTCCTCCCCACAGCCCTGCAGGCAACCCTGCAAATTTTCACCCGTTACTACATTCACCTCATCATCCACCACTCCCTCTTCACACTCTCTGCTCTAGCCACAGAGCTCTTCTTGCAGCTGCTTCAGTGTTCCAAGCTCATTCCCACCTCAGAGACTGCACAATTGTTGTTTCTTCTTGTTTTTCATGGCTGCTTCCCTCCAACCTTCAGATTTCCACGATGTCACCTCCCAGAGATCTTCCCTAACCATGCTGTCATGTCCCCATATTCCATTCATTTCTGTCATATCACTCATCACAATTTATAATCAAGTATCTGTTGGTTCCCTTGTTTGTTGTCTGACTCAACTATGAGATCCACAAGGTCAGGGACATATTTGGCTTGTTCTCCACTTTCTTCCCTCTTCCTAACACATAGTTGACACTCAATATATATTTTCTAACCAAATAAATGAACAGAACCTTTAAAGACGACTAGGAGATTGCTGAGGGGACAAGGCAGAAAAAACACTCCAGGCTGAAGGAACAGCATGTACGAAAGCTTGGCGGTGTGAAACCACATGGTATGTGCTTAGAATTACAAAAACCTCAGGTGGGATGGTCAAATCATAAAGCATCTGAAGAGCTTAACAACGGGGATGGGAACACACTCTGGGGCTTAAATCTTTCCATTAAGCCCATCTCGTTGACTTTACAAAAGTTGATGAAATCGGAAAAAGGAACTTGCAAAGGACTCTAAAAAGGGAAAACCAGATGACTGTCACCCAGAGCAGAATGTTTTAACTAAGTCTGGGGTCTGGTCTGCTTTGCATCCCAGCCCTGCCACGGACTCCTGACTGTGACCTTGGGCAAGTTCCCGCCTCTCTGATGCTAGGTTTCCACAAGGAAATGGGGAGGGGCCTGGACCAGGTGTCCGAATGAAGTGCTCACCGGCGGTGGGAGAGGAGAGCGAGCACGGCCAGCAGCAGCAGGATGAGCACGAGGATGAGGGAGAGCGTCAGGATGAGCGGGTCCAGGTCTGGAGAACCAGGGATAGGTCAAGGCAGCGGGCTCGCCCCACGTCAGCTCCAGCCCCTCCTCCACCCCTACTTAGGGCCTCACCACTGGCTGTGAGCAGCGACGCGGGCTCGGACCACGCACTCCAGAAGCCGTCGAAGCTCGGCTCCGCCATACGCGCGCGCACCTTGAAGGTGTAGCGCGTCCCGCGCCGCAGGTTGCTCAGCACGCACTCGGTGCGGCCGTCCAGGATCTCCACCTGTGGGCGGGGCCTGGGTGAGAAGCGTGGCCAATACGAGCCGAGCGCACGGACCCAGGCGTGTGGGGCGGGGCGACCAGAGAACCCGGGGACCTCTCCTACCTCGCAAGGAGAGTAGGAGGCGGGGCCCAGGCAGGTTCGGGACCAATCAGGATGGGGCCCCGGGTAAACGGCGGGGCCAGAGCGCGGAGGGGGCGGGGCCCTGAAGGTGGTCTAAGATTAGGGACTAAGATTCAGGCGCGCGGGGGAGGCTGCGAGAAAGGCGCCTTCTCCGCCCGCGTGGAGCTGTCTTGGGCGCCAGGACTAAGGGAACTCGGGCGTCGGGGGAGGACCTGGAGGGGCGGGCCCGTGGCGACCGTCTCGGCGGCACTTAGAGGGGCTGGACCTTTGGGAGAGACTTGGGGCCGGGCAGTAGGGGCGGGCCTCACCTTCTGCGTGCCCCCTGAGGCGCTGCCTGCGGAGATGTTCACCTCGTAGCGGATGAGGCTCGCCATGGGGGCCCCAGGAGGTGGGAGCCATCGTAGTACCACGTGGCCGCCCTCGTCCGCCCGCCGCGCTTCTAGCCCCGCAGGGGGGTCCAGGAGCACTATGCAGAAGGGTAGCTCAAGTGGGCGGAGACGGAGACCCCCCTCCCAACCACTGCCCCATTGCCGGGGAACTTACCCACTTCGTTGATCTGGATGACTCGGCTGTAGCGTGGAGCGCCGGACGAGGCCGCTGTGACCCGCAGTTCTAAGGGTACGAAACTCGACGTGTCCGCCGTAGGCAGCGAGCACCAGAAGCGCACAGCTCCGCGGGCCGCGGGCGCCTGGTGCAGGCGGCACGGCTTCCACTGCTCACCCCTGTTTGAGGAGTGACCGGGGAGGGAAGGGAGCAGGTCGGGAGGTATTGACAGGACCATGGGTTCACTTTGGTCACTACCACGAGGGGGCGTCCCAGACCCACCTACGCGACACCTTGGACCTGACTTAGAGGTTGTCCCAGCCCCGAGTTCGGAGTCGCGCTCCACCGGCGATCACCGGAGTGTTCCAGTCCGGGCCACTAGGGGATGTGTCATCCCGGACACCGCGGGCTTCCCACCAGCAGGGGAGGTGCCAACCAGCCCCGGCCCGGCTCGACCGCCTCCTCCACCCTTGGGGGCGTTGCGCCCGCCCCGTCGGACTTACTCGAGCTGGTAGGAGAAGCTGTAGTTGTGGAGGCTGACCCCGGCGCTCGCCGCTTCCTCCCAGAAGCACACCAAGTCCTCCAACCGCTCGGTGAAGCACAGAAGCTCTTTGGGCCCGTGGGCCGCCAGCAGGGCCGCTGTGGGCCGAGGGAGGGGCGCAAGGGAAGGGGTCAGGCAAGCCGAGCCCTGTTTTAGGACCACAGCGCCCTCCCCCTTTTTCCCGTCGCCTGTGCGGCCCGATAAGACAAGCGCCCCACCCAGCTCTCTACCCCAGCGGGGCCCCAAAGGGGTACGCAGAGGTGGTGCCTCCGGAATCCCCAGGCTCACGTTACTTGCCTCTCTGTTGCCCCACACATACCCGTCCATCCCGCAGCCAGCTGAACTGAGCGCAGCGTTCAAGCCCTCAGTCTCCCGCTGCCCAGCCCGGCGCGGCCCAGGACAGCCGAGCCGGTGGGTGTGTGTGGAGGAGGCGGGGCCCCCTATCTGACCTGGCAGGCTCCGGGCCTCCCGATAGCGCCAACCGTGTCCCCCGCCCCCTCCCTCAACCCAGCCTTGCAAGGGATCTGGTGCCCGCACCCAAACCGTGTTTACAGTGGCCTGCGGCCGGCCCCTGGGGCTGGGACCCGGGCTTTTTCCTGTCTCCCTCACTGGAGGGCCCGCTAGCCCTCTCCCCTCAGGGACTCCCGACCCCGGAGCCCAGGCCCAGCACCACTCCTGCCCCATTAGGATGTAGCATGTCCCAGGCTCCCTGAAAAGATAAAACAGGAACCTTACGTTTCTTTCCAGCATTCCCCCCAGAACCCGGTCTGGGGACTTGGACCCGGCATGCCCCACCAGGACCCACCCTAGGGGTTCAGACACCAGCTTGGTCCCCAGGCTGGAAGGTCAGGCCCCAGCATTGCCCTCCAGGACCCAGTGTGGAGGTCCACACACAGCTCCATCCTTCCTTACCTTTGCTTTCAAACTTGGGGCCAGGGAAGTTAGGAGGGGGAGCCAAGGCGGCCCCAGTGAGCAGAAGCCAGAGGGAGCCGACTCTAGGCCAGAGGGGCGCCGCGAGGGGACCCATGATGCAGCCCCCTCCACGGGGGGCCCAGAGCGCCTGCCCCACACTTCCTTCACCCCTGGCACAGTCCACAGCTGGGTCAGCAGCTGCCTCCGCCGGACGCAGCTGACCAGGCCCTTCCCGGCCAGGCGCCTCCAAGTGGCAGCTTCCCCGAGGGGGCGGGACCAGCAGGCAGCCTGGACTGATAAGCGGAGGCGGCAGCCCTGCGGGCCCCGCAGGACCAGGCAGGAGCCCTCTCAGCGCCGCCGCGCAGGGCGGGAGCCCCTCCTGTTTCTGCGTCAGAAACACTTTCTTGCTGTGTGACCCTGGACAGGTGACCTACTTTATTTGAGCTTCAGCCTTTTCATGTGTAAAAATTACACATGTTTGCATATAGCAAACATTCCAAAAATGCAAGCTATTGATATTATCATATTAATCAACATCTCTTCCCAGTCTGGGTAGGAATAAATAATAATCATAATAGTGACTAGCTCTGGAGTGTTTGCACAGTGCTAGGCAGTGCTGCCAGACAGTACGTTTGATATGATTCTGTATTTGTAAAATTACATATAGTCTGAAGTGTGAGATTTTGTGCTTTATTTTTTGGAAAAAAATTTACTGTTTATGTTTGCATGATCGGGATTTTATTTTACAAGGAGTGTGCAGTTCTTTTCATAGTGGGGAAAGTAATTACAGAACAAACCATAAAAGCTATTTGCTTGGGCTGAGCTTAGACTGGGGTAAACACAGAGGTACATGCCTCGGGAGGGGTGATACCTACCTGATTGCTCCTGCCAGCCCCAGATTAGACAAACGCTCCATTCCCTGGAGCACAGTGATTGGTTTGGGGTGGGCATGTAATCCAAATGCAATCAATGAGCTTCCATCCTGGGATTTTACCTGGCCTTACTGGGAAAGGGGGTGCCACTTTCTATTGGGCAACAAGGTGGACAGATGGAGTAGCCAGGAACATCTTTGCCTGGAGGGAAGAAATTGCCAGATGGTGAAGCTAACATGGGCTTTTGCACCTGCTGTTCTGCCTGGAAGGTTCTTCATCTTAATATCAGGTTTCACTCCTTCCCTTTTTTTTTCTTTGAATCCTCACCCAACGGTATTTTTCCCATTGCTTTTTCAGAGTGGAAGGGAGAGGGAGAGAGAGAAACATCGATGTGAGAGAGACACAATGACTGGTTGCCTCCCGCAGGCACCCCAATGGGGCCCGGGGATGGAACCTGCAACCAAGGTATGTACCCTTGGCCAAATTCCAACCGAGATGCTTCAGTCCTCCGGCTGATGCTCTAACCACTGAGCCAAACTGGCCAGGGCCACGCCTCCACTTTATTCAAGTCTCTGCCCTAGTGTCACCTTCTCAATGAAGCCCTTTCTGATCATCCTATTAAAACAGCAACCCTCCCATCCCACACTCCCCATTGCCCGTAAATGGCTTATTATATTTTGCATCCCCAGTGCTTAATATTACCTAATATGTATGATGTTTTGTTATTGACTAACTGTCCTCACTAGCCTGTTTTGCTCATTTTTGTGTTCCCAGCATATAGAATAGGTACTGGCACACAATAGGACCTCAAGAAATATTTGGGGGGGGGGGAGAAACATTTGTGAAGTAAAGATTAGAGGAAAGCCCAGCTAAGAGATGTAAAGACACAGTTGAGCCCAGCCAGTGTGGCTCCGTGGTTGAGTGCCCACCTATGAACCAAGAGGTCATCATTCTATTCTGGTCAGGGCACATGCCTGGGTTGTGGGCTCAATCCCCAGTCGGGGACATGCAGGAGGCGGCCGATCAATCATTGATGTTTCTCTCTCTCCCTCTCCCTTCCTCTCTCTCAAATCAATAAAGATATATTTTTTTAAAAAAAGGGGGAGAGAGAAACATCAATGTGTTGATCAGTTACCTCCTGTACACACCCCAACCAGGAGATGGACCCCTGAACCTGGAGTAGAACCAGGAATCAAACCAGCAACCTTTTGGTGCAAGGTATGATGCTCAGCCAACTGAGCCACACCGGCCAAGGCTACCGGCACACTTTCAAAAAACAGAAGTGATTCAGTGAGAATCCATCTCTCCCTCAGGAAATTGGCATTTGGATTGTGTGGGTGAGAGAGAAAGGCAGAAAGTGTAAACTGTGATCATGAGAGGCTAACTAGCCAGTTAAGTGCACGTGTTCTGGCACTTTGAACTCCAGCTGTGCCACTTACCACATCACTTTGGGTAAGCAGCTTAACCCTCCTTAGTCTCAGTTTTTCGTGTATACCATGGGTAAAATAATAGTGCCTACTCCATAGGGTTATTATGAGAACTAAATGAGATGAACAGAACCTGATACACAGTAAGCACTCAGTAAAGATAGCAATTATTTTATTTTTATTGAGATATAATTGATATATTACATTATATAGCAATTATTTGCTTAAGCTAGTTCAAGATAGTTATTTATATCCGATTAGTACTAAGGTCTTAATAATCATAGCAACCCCTCCTCCCAAAAAAGCCTGTAAAGTAGCATGTTGTGTACTGCAGTCTGTCTTTTAAGAGACCCTACATGATGCTTAGATTCTTCTATCTCCTCTTTTACCCCAGACAGGACCTGAGCACCCCCCATTATTGCTCCAAAGACAATGTTTAGAATCCTAGTAATTCCCCCCCCCCATTCACCAGAATTCTCCCTTCTCCTAGTAACAACACCCAAATGTAATTTCAATTTTTGTGCCCTCCCAGACTTCACTCCTATGTTTTGAACTTTCTCTGCCAGCTCAAAGGATGGGCACAGGGCCCAGGCCTAGTTAATTAGTATATTACATTCCTCTAAACAGTAGTTTAGAGGACAACATGATACAAGTTGTCCCAATGGGCATCTGCTGTGGGACTTTTGCTGGACCTGATGGGAGAAAGGGGTTTGTTCTCCTTGCATGGGAGGGTGGAGATGGTGGGATGTAAGCCTGGCACCACTCCCAGGAGGTGTGAGCCTGCCTTGGAGTGAGGCTATGTTACTTAAAATGTTCTTTTGGCTACTGTAACAGAGACCCAAATAATAGTGGTTTCAGTAAGGTAGACATTTATTTCTCTATTATGTAACAATCTAAGTAGCAGCAATACAATATGGCAGTTCCCTAGTCTCAGACAGCCATGCTCCTTTCAGTTTGTTGCTCAGTTATTTAGAGGGTGTGAACCGCCAGACCCAACACGATCCACTCCATGTTTTCATTCTAAACAGCAGGAGGCAGAAAAGGAGGAAGGGGGGGGGACTACACCTCCCGTCTCTAGGGGCATTTGCCCACATCCTTTCCCTTTATATCTCATTAGCCAGGACTTAGTCACATGACCACATTTTGCTACAAAGGAGACTGGAAATGCAGTTTTTACTCTGGGTGACCAAGTAAAAATCACTGGTTCTACCACCATAGAAGGTGATTGGATTTGAGAGTACAATACACAGTCTCATTCTTAGAGCAAAATTAGAGCCAAGAGATAGCAACAAAATCCTGATGACATCTTTTCAGTCCCTGGATCCAACTGTACCTTAAGTGGACCCATTAAACTTTTTAATTACACAAGCCATTAATTTCCTTTTATGCACATGCCTATTTGAATTGGATTTTTTGTCCACTTGACACTTAAAGAATCTTGGTTAATTCAGTGAAATATAAAGTCCCTAGTTATTGTCCAGCAGAGTAGAGTTCATAAGTGGGCACATTATTATTGTTGTTATCACTCTGCTGTATGGCCCTACAGCTCACTCCATCTCTGCCTTCTCTACCTGTTTCTTCTTCCTACCCCAGCACTGAGAGACAACTTAGCTTCACCTTTTGTCTCCATGGCCCTTACTGACTCACGGGTGATGATGCTATTTGTCTCTGATTCCAATGGAATTTCATTTCTTCATCTCCCATATACACAGCAGAAAAGAAGCATATTACCCCAAAAATGTTGGGGGAGGGAGTTCTGAAACCTGTATGACAGCCACCCTCCCCCAGTATTCGGTCATGCTTCACCAACCCATTTTTTAGGGCTCTTAGGTTTTTTTCTTTTCTTTTCCATTTTTATCTTAATGAAGAGTGAACATGAGGCACAGGCACCAAAGAAGACTGACGCCTGTTTCATATCTTTGGTCACTGTTTTCATCTATTTCTGTTCGTTGTGATGTATCTCCAACAGTTACAAGAGTTCTCTGGGGAAGGGTCTGACCCTCAGCATGTGAGGGAGCTCTCCACCAGCCACCCTGTGAGCTGAAGACTTTGGAATAGGGATCCAGTGCCAAGAATGTCAGAGAAATGGGGCCCAATAAAGTTGGGGGTAGTGGTCACAGGGTATGGAGCACAATGGGCTCTACTGGGGGATGGGAGCTTTCTGGGAGAGGAGTGCCCTCCCCGCCCCCCTAGTGATAGAAGCTGCCGATGGGACCTGCGTCCTGGAGGCAGGAGAGGGCCAGTTCAGTTCAGGTCGGGGAGACTGAGGTTGTGTGCCCGGCCTCCTCCTTGCGCCGCAGAATGAAGTCTCCGGAGGCAGCTGGACTCATAGCATAGAAGACGTTGGCGTTGTCAGGAATCAGGAGCTCTGGCCAGGTGTGGACATCATAATGAAAGGCTGGCACAGCCTTTTACTTCCCCCCAACTTCCTTCCTACCCCACTCTCCTCTCACAGCCAATTCCCAGCCAACCTCATGCCGCTCTTACCATGACCTTGGGTAACTTCTGACTTCCCCCTTCTGGCCTGCACAACCTGTGGCCCTTGACACCTGAACCTCATGCGTTCCTTCCTAACATCCAACCTACTTCATGTCAAGTCCTTTAATAGAACCTCTTGGCTCTCCCTTGCAAAAACTGGACAACCTCTTACACTGAACAACCTCACGTCCCCCTACCCTGAATTTCAATACCTTATGGCCTTCTCCTATGCCAAGTTCAGATAACTTCAGAGTCCCCAGGCTGAGCCTGGACAAACTCATTTTCCCTCAGATCAAACCCAGACCCCCTTCAGTCTCACACTCCACCAGGTTAAGCCTGAACAACCTCATGACCCTATACATTTAAGCCTAGACAACCTTCTACAGTCCCTCTCGTTTAACCCTGGACAATTTCATTTCCCCATAAATCCTAGGAGGACACTTTTGGTGCCCTCTTACCTCACACTGAGCCAGGATAACCACACAGCCCATATAACTGAGGAACAAACATTTTACTGCCTCTTACTCCCACCCTGCTTCATCTTATCCCTACTCTGTGCCTGTACCACCTCATGGCCCTGTTAGGGCCATCTCCCAGCTGTCCCCAGCCAAGGCTCCCAGCTGTCTCTGCTCACCTCTGTCCCCAGGAAGGACTTGGAAGAGCTGGTAGTCACGGGCCCAGGACTGGGCCATATTGTGCTTCTGCAAGGCTCTCTGTACCACACTGGGGGCCTTGTCTTGACTAGTAAGCTGGGAAAAGAAGGTGGGAGGTAAAATGTGAAAACCTGAGCCCCAAGGGCAGGGCTGCCCCCAGGAGGTCCCTAGCCCAGTTCCTCACCAGGATGCTCCGATATAGGTTCCCGTGGTCGTTGTCGATGCTGACTCGGATGACCCGGGCCTCTGAGCCTTGCTGCCCCACAAGGGGTATTCGAGGACAGCTCAGGGTCAAGGCAAGGGGCAGCTATAAGCAGTGGGGGTTGGGGACTGAGCAGTGGGAGAGCACTAGGCCCTTCCTCATTAATGTATTCAACACACGCCCCTACACACCCGAAGCTGGAGGACACACAATTAGGGTACACATACGCAAGCTCACATCACATACAGACCTTCATTCCCTGTTACACACAAGATTGATAAACATGCAAACCTATGTTCACACACAAGAAATCCTGTGTATACAGAACAATGAATACATACATATGCTCACATTTGTTGTACACACACAAGTCTATGAACAGACCTGCACGTCGGCCTGTGGATATTCTGGATATTCATGCCCACATTTCCCCTTCAGAAATGCAAATTCCTGGTGATACACATGTTCTTGCAAAAGTGTGTGATTGTACCCCAGAGTACAATCGCCTGTGGGCGAGTAGACACATAGGCCAGGTCTGAGCACAAGCCAGGTGGAGGGACAATTTCTCAATCAGGGCCATGAAAATGTACATGGTCCTTTGGACAGATACCCCAAGTGCTGAGCTAAGCATGGGTACAATCTCCTATGTACATGCCTGTCCTCAAAATCACACACACACACACAGAGCCTTGGGTGCCCACAGTCCCACATGCACACACAAACAGTCCTGCTACCTTGGTACTGGGGCCCTGGGGCCCTGGAGAGGCCGGGGGACTTCCAGGAGGAGGGTCCCTTGTTCTAGGACTGGATGGGGGAGACCCTGGGGACAGACTGGGAGAGATGCAGAGCCTGAGGTGGTGTGGCTACCCCAACCTCTGACCCTGCTATCTCCAGTTCCTCTACTAAACAAGATGCTCACCTGGAGGTGGGGGATGAGGGGTCTCCAGGACTCCCACCAGGGGACGAGCCTCTCTCTCTGGACAGCTTCCTGAGGATGGGGACAGAGGATGAGGCTAAGGCCAAACTCAACCCCAGGAGCAGCCCCCCATCTCTGCCCATCTCACCGCACACACACACCCAAGACTCACGCACTGAGACGCTTGGTGAGGCTGATTCGTCGTCGCACACGTGGGGAGCTGGGACAGGAGGCAGCTGGTGGTTCAATGACACGGGAGACACGGTAGCTGAGGGACCAAGGTGCAGATGGGTGGGGGGTTTGGGAGAAGAGAGTTAGAATCAGTTGAGAGCTGGGTTTTGGGCACTGTGTGGAACACCCAGTGGTGGGCAGAACTATTAGGGTCAGAACTATTAGGGTCAGGGTAGTAAATGGGGTCATAAAGCAACAGGGTCTTATTAGGAATGAGATGGGATGGTTTGGTTGGCAGGTCACACAGGATTCACAGAGTGAGACTGAGGAGTCGAATTGGGTCAAAAATAGAATTCAAGGTCAGGTAATCATTGGGGTCAATAGTTAGGGTCATGGATTCCATAGAATGAAAGGAAATAATTGGGATAGTTGAGTTGGACGGTCAAATATACATCAAAGTTGGAGTCAGTTACTCAAAACTGGGGGTTAATGTTTGGGCTCAGAGAGTGAGATGTGGAGTCATGGGTCAGATAGGGTCAGAGGTGGGAAGAAAACAGAAGGGATGGTTAGTTGAAGTCAGAAAGTCAGAGTCAAAGTTGAGGTTGGAGGTCATTTGGGGCCCTCAACTGGGCTTGAGATAATGCAAGGTCGCAGGTTGGGAGTCAGGGCTCGGGGGGGGGGGTCTTAGGAGCATTTGGAGAGGAATACAGGGTAAGCAAACCCAGTGCGTAATTCAGGGTCAGTTGAGGTGGGGCTGGGACAGGCCACAGGGTGGTCACCTCTGCTCCTCACTGAGCTGGCGCTGGGCACGCAGGGCAGCCAGGATGGGTGGGCAGGGGCTCAGGCAGTAGCTCTGACAGCGCTTCTGCAACTGCTGGATTCGGGCCAGGATCTCCCACTCCTGAGGGTATGGCTTCTGAGACCTCACTACTGCCCTGACCCCACCCTGGTCCCTCCTACACCCACCCCAGTGCCCACTCACCTTCCTCCTCTTCTCAAAGTTGATGAGATCCCCCTGGGGGCAAACTTTGTCTGAACTGGAGTCTCCAGGGTCAAGGGTCAATTGAGGATCAAGGTCAGGGGTTGGGATGTCAGGAGCCCCACTGCACTAAGGGGGTTGGGGTCAGGAGTGCAGGTAGGGTCAAGGGTAGGATGTCAGGAGGCCCACTGTGCTGAGGGCAGGTGGTACTGGGGTCAAGGGTCAAGAGTCAGACCTCTAGCATGTCCGGCAGGGCTGTGTCCAGCATAACCAGGTCCGTGAGAAAGGTGCCAAGGTATGGGACCGGGCCTGGGGGTGGTTTCTGTGGCCCCCAGAGCTCCAGTCACTCTCAGCCATCATGGACCCCATCACCCTCCATCTCCTTCCATGAGGGTCCCACTTGTCCCCCACCCCAAACTACCATCACTCACTGAAGGGAGGCTTCCTGGGGGAGTATCCTCCTCTTGGGGTCCCTCAGTGGCCTCCTCCTGGGGGCAGGAGAAGAACTGAGCAGTCCTGGGGTCTCTTGGACCTCTCCATACACATCCATTTTGCTTTTAGCAATTACAAACCAGTCGCAAAGGCCATGCTCCAAGGAAAATGAAGGGGGGGAAGGGAAGGAAGGGAGCAGATAAGTGGCAGGGGGCAGCCCCAACTGAGGATGACCAGAGGTGGGTCTTGTGGGTGCCATGGCCCCCAGGGACAGTCTCAACACAGGTGAGAATCTTTGTCCCAGGCCTGATGGAACAGGCCCTCAGGCAATCCCCTGGGAATGCCCTGAACCTTGCCTTTGTGGCATTGCTCTGCCTGGTAATTAATCATATCATCACTGGGGCAGTTATTATTGCCAGTGTGTCTCCCCTGTCTGGGACCTGAATCCTCCCAGGGCAAGGAAATATATCTCTCTGGTTCATGGCCAAGCCTCTTGGCACAGTGCCAGGTACATAGTAGGTGCTTAATGCAGAGCCCCTTGTGAGATCATTCTTATGTGAGATTTTTTCACTCATTCACAGATATTTATTGAGAGCCCACTATGGGTCCAGCACTGTTCTCGCTCTTGGGGAAGCAGCAGTGAGTAGAACAGACAAAATCCCTGGCCTCAAGGAGCAGACGTCAGGGGGGGAGGGAGCAACAACCAAACCTAACATGTCATTAAGGGTGCTCAGACACAAGAACAATAAGGGGGGAAGATGGGGGGCAGGGAGAACATCTCTGAGGGGAACATTTGGGTAGGGACCTGCAGAAGGTGAATGTGAAGAATGTTCCACCTATTCCGGACTCACCCTAACAACCAGTACTAACTGCATTTAGAACCTTAATCTTGCCTACAGTACGTCTGATCTGTGGGCACACGTTTGCTAGTTTTGCTTATTAAAGTCAAATTTTTTTTTTCCATTCTTTGCTATGACTCTAGCCTTAAGCGACCTTTCCCTTGTAACTTCTGGTATTTGTTGAATGAATAAATAAGGCAGTTACCAAGTGTGAACTATCATGAGGGCAGCAGAGGCAGTAAAAATGTGGGGCTGCCCACATACAAGGGCAAGGTCATTTCTGGGGTGTAGGGGAAGGACGCTGAATGGAGGGACAAGGACAATCTATGCCTTGCTTTGCCCCAGGCCCCCTTCCTGGGCCTCTGTACCTGGGAAAGAATCTCTCTGCTGCTGAGATGGTTGTTCTCATCGGAGAAAATCTGGGAAAGTTTCCTGAAAGTGGATAAGGGTTCCCTGTGGGGGACAGGAGAGGGGTCAGAGGCTGGGAGGGTGAGGGTTAGGATTGGGTAGGGAGAAGGTCTCGCCCCAGCTCCCCTCCCCATTCTTGCTCACCTGCTCACAGCGCCCCAGCTGCTCTTGAGCCGATATATGGGGTTAGACTGCAGGGCCGACAGGATGGCGCGCAGGGAGGAGAAGTTCCGAAGTTCCCTGCAGCGCTGGGGGGCGGGGGGCACTGGTCAGACCCCAATCCCGAGCAGGTATAATCTGGCCTCTATGATCTCGTGACTTCTGACCCAGATCCAACCCCTGGGACTGGCCCCACATCTGACAAGCTACCAAGACTCAGTTCTCCTCCCGGAGCACCCCTCTCCCCAC